TACCAATCCACCACGCCTTGCACGACCTTCTCCTTTCTCGGCAGCAGACAAGAAGCAGACAATTCAAGGCCACAAATCTCCCTCCCTTCTTCCGCCCAGCCTTGGAGCCAAATTGGTGAACACCCCCCCCCCTCCCCCCTTTCCAGACCAGCAAGGAGAGACAGGATCAACCGATCTAAAGATAACACCATCGCTCTCCCTCCCTCCCTCCCTCTCCTCATCGGCGCCAAACACGGGATTGGCGAATGATCCCGCACCGTCACCTTTCTCACTGACGGGTCCCAACTATCCTTCATCATCCCAGCGCCACTGGAAAGGGAAAAATTTCACGTCAAAAAAGGAAGAGTAGAAGGAAGGGGACAGCATTTATCCTGGGTATCCGGCTTTGGGGAGAGGGAGAGTGTGTGAAGAGTGAGGGAGCAAGATAGAAGCATATATAAGTCTTGGAGAGAGGAAAGAGGGCGCGCTCTGCTCTTTTCCTTGAAGACGGTTTCAGCTCTGTCGGCTGCGGAGCTGGGCCAGAGGTTGAGGCAGCACGAGAATGAAAGTGAGTTCAGATCCCCCTGCCCCTTCCTTCACATCTCCTCTCGCTCCTGCCTACATGTGCCCCTCGGTTCAAGTAGGGGGGAAGTGGGATATGCAGCGTCTCACGATTCCCTTCCTTCTCATGAGTTCCTCACCGGCAACCTACTCGGCTTTCGCGATCTCTCTCTCTCTCTCTCTCTCTCTCTCTCTCTCTCTCTCTCTCTCTCTCTCTCTCTCTCTCTCTCTCTCATCACTACCCTCCAGTACCTGCTGCAAGCCATCGAGGCGAAGCGCTCATCTATCAAGCTCAATGATTCGGACCTCCGGAGACTCCTGACCGAGGTCAGAAAGGGACGCGTGAGTACTTTCTCGTTCCATCACGTTCCGATAACTATCCCCTTCCCCGTCTTCTTCAACATTTACTATCGGGGGCAGTCCTCACAAGGGAAAAGGGGTCAGGGCCACGATCATAAATCGGTGGACCTCTGCATCGTCCTTTGGGTCAGATCGGAGGAAAGAAGTCCGAACTCGAGCCAGCCTTTTTGCTAACTATGCGGCACCTGAAACAATCACGCTGCCAACCATGTAGGATGAGCGGGAGGAGTTCCTCGAGTCGATTGACAGGATCATCACCGAACTCAAGAATTATTCTGTGAGTTGTGATCGGACCAGAACCGAGCATCGCCGCCGCGACTGACCTGGGGAGGTATGCCTTGGCTCGGCAACAGGAACACTCCCAAGCTTTCCTTACCAAGGTCAGCAAGCGAGATGCTCCCGACTACTACGATGGTGAGTTTCTTCTATAAGGATCTGTAAGGGCAGGGAAGGGTGGGGCCAATGGTGACGGTCGCATCAGCAAGCTGATCTGTTCGCGTCCCTTTTCTGGGAAAACAGTGATCAAACATCCGATGGATCTAGGCACGATGCAGAAGAAGATCAAGAGCGGTCAATACAAGAACAAGAAGCAATTCGCCCATGATTTGGATCTGATATGGGATAATTGTCTCACGTACAACTCGGATCCGGTAAGTGAAGCCCTCCAAAGATCGCATGTCTTCTTTTCTTTTAAGCATTGAGGGCCCGGCCAAAGCTGAGATTTCCGCGTTCCACGTTCTTTTATCCATTCATTTTTAAAACAGAGCCACCCGCTTCGAAGAAATGTTCAATTCATGAGGAAGAAGGCAAACCATCTGCTCGAGTTTATCAGCGACAAGAGCGATGTGAAGGACGCCCTGATCCAGTGGGAGGCCAACGAAGCTGCCATGGGCAAAGTGCAAGAAGTCGAGGTGAACGGAGATGCCGATGGAGCAAAGGGTTTCGGTTTTGGGGCGGGCTCATCTGCAAGCCGATTTGCATCTCCTAAGGTTGCTTCCACGGAAAAGCAGCCGCCAGCCACCTCACTGGTAAGTTCGGCTGACTGAGGTCTCTGTGAAGAAGAGGTCAAGCTGCTTGGGCGTTTTCACTCACTCCGGAACACCTTCACTCACCCGTCTCCTTTCCTTTTTTTCGTTTCTAGTCGGCCACGCGCCGTCGAATGCAGTCAGACGTCCCTTTCGAACAAATGCCCGCTCTCCTCCGAACGGCGCATGGCATGAGTACCTTCATGGATTTGGACACCTCGATAGCAGCGATCGAAGCTCAAACATTCCCGTCTTTCTATGCTGAGAGCTTCAGCCAGAGGCCACCCGGGGATGAGAGCGGCCCCTCATCGCGACCGATGGACGCGACGAATTCGGAAGATCCTCACACATGTCGCGACAAGGTGTTTTCGATCTTCGACAGCTTGAGAGAGCGAATTCTGCCAGACCCTTTCTCCGCCGCTTTGGATCCGACGCTGGTGACAAGCCTTTTGAAGGGTAAGGCTCGCGAGAGCCCGAGACCAGGCTTCTGCGAAGACCTTGAGCTTTCGGGAGGTTGGTGGGCCGCCTGCTCCGCCGACGATCTGCTAGGTGCGGGTTTACCTGCCTTGCCATCGTCGGAGATGATCCGCGTCAGGGATCGGTCAGGCGCCAACGGCAAGCCGAGAAAGAAGAGGCGGAAACCCCACCAAATACCGCCCACCCAAAGATCAGGCATGCAGGGGCTAGTGGCGAGAAATGTCAGGACGATCCAAAAGCTTCAAGAGACGCATGCCAAGTTCGTGGCCTTGGCGAGCGCAGTAGAGGTGAGTACCAGCTGACCAACTTGCCTCGTCCTCATCATCCTTTGGTAACAAGCCCCTGACCAAGATGTCTGTGTAATGCCCCCATCCCCCATCTCCTTTCGCAGAGTGACGCACCCCTTCCGGCCCATTTGGCGCACGTATCTTCGGATGAGGAATCGGACGATTACCCCTCAGCTGCTGAGGAGGAGGAGGATGAGGAAGAGGTGCGGATAGCGGTCGAGGGCAAGAATCCGTTCAGCAGGATAAACTGCAGCTCGGCGAGGGAGAACATCTCGTGGAATGCTCAGAGCCTCCTGGCACACCAAGGATTTGAAGGTGAGTGGCGCATCCGATGATCGAGAACCGTGTGACTCTCAGCTGGGGAGCGGACTAGCATGCGCTGACTCACAAACTTGTGTGCTTGTCTTGGCCCTTGCACCCGTTTACAGGGAGCCAAAAAGCGGCCGTCGATGTGTTGAGCGACGTCATGACAGAGTTCCTCATGAACATGGGCCGAACTTTGCGCCTCTACTCGGATCGCTATGCGAGAAAGATGAGTGCCGAGGTAAGTTCTGCCGACAGATTCCGAGCTCTGTTGTACACCTGATTTTTTTTTCTTTTTTTTTCTCATCCCTCCGTCATACTTATCTAACTGCTGCTGTTTCACGCCTTGACCCTTCGTAGGAGATGATCCTTCACAGTCTACAGGAGAGTGCAGGAACCGACGTGCCGGGCCTTGAGAGGTACATCCGCGATGACGTCGAGAGGTATGGAATCAAGATGAGCGACCTGCTTCGACGGCTGAGGCAGTCGTACAAGGACCAGCTGCAGGTAAGCATGCTCTTGGGCAGTGCGCAGTCGGTCTCATTTGTTCTAATGTTTTTCCCCTAAATTTTGGCTATTTTCCTCACTTTGTGATTTTCCAATACCAGCAAACAACTGATCGCGCTGCTTTCGAAGATGAGGCGCTCTTTGCGGACGACGGCGAAGCCCTCATGAGGTGAGTAGACCTGATGGTAAGGTTCAGCGTGTCATTCTCCAAGAGTTGCTGACGCAGAGTTTTTTCACGCTTCTTCCAAAACTCTTTCGTCTTAGTGGAAACTTTGCTGAGGAGCTCGGGGACGATTTCTTTGGCTTCAAGGAGATGGGCTTGGATCGCGAGCTGGGCCTCTCAGCCTTAACCGTCCCAGGCCGTCTTTTCCATGGCCGGGGGCCCTCGAGAGCCAACGCTTTGGTCAAAGGGTGAGAGCTTATCCCTCGTTTGGGGGGGGGGGGCGGGGAGAGGATTTTGATTGCGAATGGGTTGGAGTACTGACATGGGCTTTTTTACCTTACCAACTTTTTCCTCCTACCTGATTTTCTTTTCCTACTTCATTTACTCTACCTCAGTGCCAACACCGAGCCGGAATTACCTTATCCTCCGCCTCCTCCTTTCGTACCACTCACCAGCGCCGGCATCTCTGCCCAGATCGGGTTGCTGCAACCCTGGTACAAGGAGAAGCTATGGGACCACCGAGCCCGAGTCCGGATGGCGGACACGGTCGACGAGGGGGAGGACCGCGAGGTGGCGGCCGATACCCTGCCGGACGAGGAGGCCGAGAGGCAGAGGTACAAGGTGCCTCCGACTGGCAAGATGCCGAGGAGGACCATGTGGGGAAGCGCCGCCCCGGAAAAGCCGGCATCGTCATTGTCGTCGTCCTTTGGCCAAAAGACGGGGAACGCAGCTGAGACGACCAAGAGCCTGGCCACCAAAGTCTCCTCGGCCAACAGTATCAAGAGGAAGAGGACAGGGAGCGTAGCAGTAGCCAGCTGAAGGTTGCGCGTGATCCTCCCCCCCCCCCCCTCTTCTCCTTCATCAGCTACATAGGAATGGGAACTGGGGGAGGGGGTGAGAAGGGATGGGGAAGCTGGATAGGTTTCACCCCTTCGCGACCAACCACAAACCCTCCCTTCACATTTTTTTTTTTTTTCAAAAAAGCTACATACATCTTAAAAAAATGCTTTCCATTCCGCCAAGCCTCACCTATTCCCCTCCTCTCTGACCTCCTCTTCATCTAGGAATGTAAGAAACCTATGCACCTAAAATATCATAAGTACAGCACCTTGAAAGCCACCCCTCTCGTGCGGGGTGTCTCCACCTCAACACATTCTCACAACTTGTCAGAGAACGAAGATCGAAAGTGGGGATTTGGCTACCTTCATGCTCCCCTGCTTCTTTTTACGTACTTTTCCAACGAGCGTTCGTGGTCTGTTCTTGTTTCAGCGGAGAAGGTGGTGAGGGAATGAGTGAAAAAAAGAAAAGAAGATGATGGACCCAAGTGAGAAAAAAAAGTTCCCTGCCGGGGAATTGAACCCCGATCTGAGCAGTGCGCGTTGATCTTGCGAAGGATCAACCGGCTTTTGAGAGTGCCCTATACTAGCCATTGTACTAACAAGGACTTGATGTCTTTCCCGTCGAAATTATGATATATATACTACAAAACACTAAGGGCTTTGTCGACATCCCCTTCCTCCACCAATTTCTCTTTGCCAGTTGACGTCATACACACAGGGATACAGTAACGGTTCATCGTGAAAGCGGTTCCGATCCCCACAAGAAAGCGATTCCGATCCACATCCACCGGCCCTCCAAGTTTTCAGAGAGCAGTCAGAGTGTGGTGATTCCATCGCCTTCGGTGGAAGGAGCTTTTTCTCTGATTGCATCAGAGCTTGCCTCTCTCCAACTTTCCTTTGAAGTCCACCGCTCCTTTCTTTCTCAACCCATATTCCCCTTCTCCCATCTGCTTTCCCCCCCCCCCTTTTCTCTTCCTTTTTCTTCTAACCTGGAAAGCATCTATCCACGCCTTCGTGAAGAGAAGAGTGGATATTCAAAAAATTAGGAGCGAGTGGAGAGCTAAGGTAACATCACAGTGGAACCGGAAAAGGGGGAGTGGAAGGGGGAACCATGGCTGAAAGCGACCTTGTGAGTGGAAGAGTCAAGTTAAGAGGTCTTCACACGCCAATTTCGGTTCTTTGGTGTATCGAGTTTTACCTTTTTACCAAACGTGAAAATATTCTCGCTCTTGAAACCTTAGGCTCCATTCGCTCAGGCTACGGCTGGCGCCTTGGGTTCGATCGTCAGCAACACTCTGGTATACCCTCTCGACCTCATCTCGACCAGGTTCCAGACGGAGACTAGGGCCAAGGCCAAAGCGAAGAGTGGGTTGTCCCAACCTTTCCTCATTGGAAGGAGAAAGAAGAAGGAAGGTTTGGAAAAAGGTAGTGGAGACATACTGATGAGATGTGCCTCTGATTTCAACCGAATCCTTTCCCTAACCGATCATTTTGAGTTCAGGTTCCACTTCGATCTACCATGCCTTGAGGGAGATATTCAAGAGGGACGGAATCAAGGGTCTTTACCAGGGACTTGGTTCTGACACGCTCTCCACCGCGATATCAAAGTTAGTTCGGGTCGGCTTTTTGACTCCCCGCCTCCTCACTGGGCAAGTAAAAGATTCGGATGGGAAGGAAGGATCAAGGAAAGGCTCTGATTGTCTTCTTCTCTCTCTGAAACTTCGCCGCACGCTCGTTCTACTGACCTGGACCGGAAAAAAAATTGTGATAAAACCCCTGCACTTTCAGCTTCCTCTTCTTCTACTTTCGATCCTTTATGGTCGTGCTTTTCAAGAGCAGGAAGGCCAAATCCCTCGGCCTCACTGGATCCGATCCCAAGACTCTGGGCAAGGTGACACTGAATGCAGCAGAGGACCTGGCGGCTGGAGCCCTGGCTGGGATAGCGTCCAGATTCTTCACCACTCCTCTCTCCAACGTTACGGTTAGGAAGCAGACGTCGGCCAGACCTCGCTCGAGAGAAGCCGCCGAGAAGAAGGGGGCGACGAAGCTCTCTTCGGCGTCGTCTTCGCATCAGGCGGGTAGCGGTAAGAGAACGCCAGGTAGCGACTCTGACTCGGAGGAGGAATCCACGTATGGCGACGAACCGGGGATCGTCGATACACTCGGGCAGATCATCAGGGAGAAGGGGATCTTGGGCCTCTGGTCCGGCTTTGAGACGGCCGCCCTCCTCTCGATCTCGCCTGCGCTGACTTTTTACGCCACCCACGCCATCTCGTCGAGCACGGGCGGGGTAGGTGAGTCGGGAGCGATCAGGACGTTCCTCTGCTCGGCGGCTGGTCACTCCGTGTCTACCACTCTCGTCTTCCCCCTGATCCTGTGCAAGACTCGGCTCCAGTGGAGGAGCCCTAGCGGGAGGAGAGTGTACACGAGCCTGGTCGACGTTCTGGGAAAGACGATCAGGAGGGGAGGTTTCTCGGGCCTCTACCAGGGACTCGACAGTCAGCTCGCAAAGGGTGTTCTAGGACACGGAGTCACCATGGTGAGTCGGCTAGACGTGGTTGGCTTTTTTCTTTACAAAGACTGACTTGGTCCGATCCTTCCCCCCTCCTACATTCCAGGTCGTGAAACAGAGGGTAGAAACCCTGTTCGTCCTGGTCTACCTCTTGCTGAGAAGGCGGTCTAAGGTAGAGGCCAAGATCAGGTCGTCGTGAATGGAGTTCAACCTCGGCGGTTGCTTGACCGATGGGAAGAGAGAACAGGAACGAGTCTCCTTTGGCCATTGCGATTTCACTTCACCACCATCCATTCTAGCTCATTCTTATTTTTTGCTGCTCTGGCAGTCATACGTAACGTCACATCCCTTCGAATCGAATCGGGGGGCGGGGGGAGGGCTTGGCTTTTCACGAGAATCAAACATCACGAACGAGTTTAGGAAGAAAAATTGGAGGATGCGCTCTTGATTACTTCGGGACTGGGTCAGGGAGAGGAGTAGGTGGGCCCGTCTCCTCCGCTGCAATGGTATTCATCTTCTTCACATTCGCTCTCGCAACTCCTTTTACGATTTTGCGATGGAACCACATCGTGATTTACGCACAGGGGAGGTTTTTTAAAAAAGGGAAAGGGGGTCAGCGGATCGAGGTTCTCATGTATCAGAGGATGGAAGAGAATGGTACGGAAACCCTCACCCTGTAACCATGCCATAGTGACGGCCTACGGGACAACCTTTCAAGGAACCTCGTGCCCAGACGCAACAGACCTTGTTTGATGGGCAAATCTGAGTCCAAGAGTAGGCTTGGCTTTTCACTTTTTCTTTGGAACCCTTCTTGGGCTTTGGTGGCGTTTTGAATCCGGTCCATTGGCAGGTTCGAAAGAAAGAAGGCGTATTTCCGGACCCTCCATCCTGGACCTGACGAGGTTCCACTCGACCTTCCGAGTTGGATGGTTGACTCCTTTCCGAGATCGAAGGGATTTGGTGGGAGGTTTGGATCTGGAGGAGGAGGAGGAGGAGGAGGAAGGGGAGGAGGGATGGGAACGTCCTTGTCGAATTCCTCTCCATCGTTCCTTTCTTTCTGGGCAGACGGATGACTGTTTGGGAAGAGTGTGGGGTGGGGGGAAAGGAAGAGAAGGGGTGAAGAAGCTGGAAGGGGGAAAGAAAAGAACGCAAACCGTAGGTTTTTCAATCAACCAGGCTACCCTAGATGGATCAGCTTGTACCGTACGGTCAGGTTTTCATTTCGTCACTTTTTTTTCTCTCGCCTTCCTTTTGAAAATGGGGGGGGGGGGAGGCTTTCTTCATGGAAAGGTGGTTCCTTTCTCATTCTCTTGCCCCCACCGGGTCCCACATCTCTCTCAGTCTTGGGACCCTTCCGCTGTTTGACTCGAAATTGAAAGACTGAAGACGGCTCGCCGGTCAGCCTGTGTTGTGTAAAGGTTGGAGACCGAGTTGGTGATTTCCCCCAAACGAGCAAGGTTGGGTGGGGGGGGGGGGGGGGAAAGAAAACCAAGGTACGGAAAAGCCACAAGTTGGGAGGACACTCAGACACAGACACGCAAGCTGGCTCTCTCCCTTCTGTTCGAAGAGACAAAGGTGAGGTATGGACAGCGTAGGTGGGCAGGGGGTGTTTCTAATCATGCCCCCCCCCCCCCCCCCCCCTCTCATGAAGCGACAACTTCCTCCAATCTCATTTCAGCCAAATTCTGCCCCGACCGACCGAGTTTCGAACGGATCCTTTCTGCTCTCGCCGGGTGTCCATGGAGAGTCGATATCTTGTGAATCTCTTCTTCCTCTTCCTCCTCACCTATCCCCCTGGATCAGGTTCATGGCTGGCGGAAGTGAACGGCATGGTTGAATCATCGTCCCCCATCGGAGATCCGAGTGAAATCAAACCTCACCGAAATACCCTGGCATGCCGGGACGACACTTCCTCGCACTTTCATTTCTCACCGTCCCTCCGTTGCCCAAGGGTCAAGTAAGGTCTTCCTGACCGGATGAACGTTTTAAGTAGTGGTGAACACGCCCACCTCGCAACCTACATGCCACGACCTCTGCTTCCCCCCCGCTGACCTCCTCCACCTCTGCCTCCAGCTCCCCTGTTCCAGGATTGTTGGTGACCTCCTCTTCCTCCCCTTCCGCCGTTCCCATGTTGACCCCCACCACCACCTCTCACCCCCAAGCCCACCCCACCGGAAAGGCCACCCCCGCCCGATTGCCTCTGCTTTCGAGCCTGCTCCTCGGCTTCCTTGACTTGGTCGATCACCGAGTCCGCCACCCTGCAGTATTTGATCTGTGTTCCGGTGGGTTGGGTAGGAAAGGAGAAAAGTGGTATGACGGCCGAGAGTGAGTTTCATTTTATCTCCTTCGAACTGTTGGAAGGGCGAGGTTCATTTCCTTTCCTTTCCTCCCCATTTTCTTCATCTTTGCCCGTTGAGAAGCCAGTCGGAACTCACAGTGCTGCCCCTGATGTAACATTCTGTCAGCTTCCAGAACTGAGTCCCACTCTTTTATTTTTTTTCGTCAAGCACATTTTCCGGGTCGGATGGTGGACGTTGGCGGTGGCGATTTCATCAAGTTGTTCATTCACAGGGAAGATTTGGTAAGAAGGCAAGATGTGATTTGAGAAGGGTTAGAAAGGAAAGTGTGAGCTTCTGACGAGAGGGCCTCGGACCGACGCAGCAGCGAACAATACTAGGTCCCCCCAAAGTACAATCAATAATGCATGAAAGACTCACAGCACTGGTCTGATAGACGTCTCTCAGCGTCAGGTTCATAAAGTTGTCGCAAGCGACCAAGTGGCCGTTAAATGTTTCGCCATTCTTCAACTCTGCGAGCTGGAGGTACGATCGTCGTTCGATTCGAAGGAGTCGAAGGTTACGTTTCGGAAGAGATGAGGAAGAGGATCGAGAGATTTTAAAAAGGGGTGGGGGAAAGAGGATTCATATGGGTGAGCTAGGCGAATCTCTCAATGTGGGCATACATAGGAAGAAAGGAGCTCTTCTCACCATCGGCTTGTTCTGAGCCGCGTTGAGGAGGGATAGAGGTAACTGCGGATTGGTGAGCAAGCCAATTGGGAAGGAAGAGTCAGCGCAAAGGGGGATAGAATTGAGT